AGCTAATGGAAAGACGCGAATCCTGACCTAAGATATCCTACGTCAAAGATATATATCTTGTTTACATACATTGCATTGAGCATTTTTTCTTTGACATTTATTGCAATGTTGTATAGAACGCTTATAACGAAAACAATCTCGCTTAAGACAGTTAGCATCTCGACAATTAACAGCATGTAACAAGACTTCAATACACCGTTGTATGAATTGTTGACGTTGCAATTGTAAATTTACGACAGATTCATCATTCCGATTTAAAGAGTTACGATGACAATTTACGACTGAGAATGAAACAAAACGATCCATTTTATGTTCATGCTTGAGTTCTATATTATAACATTTTTCACATAGATCAAAATCTTCACACATTGCACAATAATAATGTATATCACATTGTTGTTGACATATATTACAATTATATATAAATTTATCTGTTGTTAATTTATGTAATTCATATAATAAAACTCTTGTTGAAAATTTTGCACGACGCAACGATGAAAATTCATAATGTTTATCACTAGCAAAATTTTAAAATGCATCTCGTGTTTCCATTAGCTCACATGGTATTAATGAATCGGTATCATTTTCAGCTGAATCTGCTGGATTCGGATCACGAAGATGAACAACAAAGAATTGCTGAATACAAAATATTTTAATGAAATTTAGATTTTTCTTTTATTAGAAATGAGCAACAATTTGCATCTATGGAAAATATGACTGAAGAGAGAATTTTTCTATCTGAATTCAACTTTTTATTTACAAGACAGTAATCATTTGATCATAAATTTTAGAGAATTGAAAATTGTTTATTAATACAAAGTGTGATATATCTTGAAAAGCCATCAATAGAAAGATTTAAATAAGTCTATCTTATATTGAAACTCGATATCTGAATGAAATGGTGACTTTTACTCTACATTATTTAAAATTTTTTTTTCACCACGAACTTCATACATGAAAAAGAAATTAGCTTTTTGATGTATTTTAAGAGAATTTCAAAAATGTTTGTCCAACAAAGTTAGATGTTATCCTAAGATTATCTAAGTTGTATTCGTAGGATAGATATGTTGTTTATATTAGTACTGATATTCAATATGCATATGTGATCCTGGATTCTAATGAAGAAATTATGCCTAATTGATAACATACTTTTCAATTGAGACAATATATCCCTTCTAAATCTAAATAAGATATGTATATGTTTTGAAAAGATTTCGAAGCCTTAACTTATTACTGAGAAAAAAAACACGCCCATTTCAGATGAATGTCATGTTCCTAGGAAAACTTTTATTTAAATTATGATTTGAAGAATTTTACATAGAAAAGTCTTTAGATGAAAATTTTATTGTAAAAGATACACATTTTCCATATTCATTTATTAGAATAACAATAGCGAATAGATCTCAATATATTTTCTTGCAGATCTATTTCCATACAGTTTCATATCGAAATTCAAAAATCTTTTCTTCAGAATATGATATTCTTTTAACGTGTTGTATTTCCATAGTATTTAACTACCGGTTACCAATTTTTTTTTGTTGAATATTAGTAGCTGCTTTCGATTTACATAATTGTAACGAATAATAAAAGGACCCACCGTGGTCTATTCGTAATGACAAACTGAATAGAGGTGGAGTAGCTTACCGCCACTTTCGGCAATGATGTTTATTCGCTTCTTCACATATCCAGAGTGTAACAACTTCATACATAGCACACGTATATATAGGAGAGAGATAGAAGAGAGACAGTAGAGATATATATTAGAACAATGGAGAGAGAACAGAAAGAGGAGAAAGAAGAGTCATCGAAGCGTGTCATCAATATCGGCACACCCTCCCACTCAGATCAGACGCGCTCCTGAGCGTCTTTACAATATCAAAAGAAAAAGGAAGATAGATAGATATACGCTATTAATGTAATGCATATTGTAAGTGGTTAAAAAGTGAAGATAAAATCTTCTAAAAANACACAATCTCAACTCAAAAGCGTGATTTCTTTCTATGGATATGAATTTATTTATTAATTCATGAACGAAAAAAGAACTCACATTATATATGTGATACGAAAATCAGTTCAACTCATAAGTTATAGTTCTACATGATATACAGAATTCGAGTCTAAGAAAAATATGAATGTTTGCCTTCTTGAAATATTCTGGATAAAATTTATAGTTCAACTTTGCACCTATAGCTTTATTTATTTGAAAACACCTTTTTAAGTTTTTTGAATTCGAAATTTTCCTAATATAACTATATAGTTATACTTTTTAGAATAGTTTCTTTCTCTTAATATAACAATGAAAATGTTTTCCTGAACCTTTCTTAGACAATCTTTTTAAAATATACAAAGCATTAATCAAAATTTATTATCGAATTCAATATATTTTTCTTCAAAAATTCTTTTTAATATTTTACCTTTTTGTGCTTTTCCATAACTCTACATATTTTTGATATTAATATGTTATGATTTGTTTTTGTTTTCTTCACATTTTTTATAGTGCAAGTGATCGCCGACTTATGCTTGACGGAAATCTTTATTAAAATAAAACTAATGTTTATATACAAAAAGAAATGACATTTCAACTAACCATTGTTGAATCTTCTAGTTCATTTGTATCATCTAAATCATTATGGGTGTGGGGTGTGGGGTGTGGGTGTGGGGTGTGGGTGGGTGTGGGTGTGAGTGTGGTGTGGCTGTGGCTGTGAGTAGCTAGGGTGTGGGTGTGGGTGAGTGTGATTGTGTGGGTGTGGGTGGACGTGTGGGTGCTGACTTCAGTATGGGTGTCGATGTGAGTGTCGGTCATGTCTTCACCCACACCCGTACCCACCCCCCCTCCCACCCCCACCCCCCC